AAGCAAGCCTGAGAAGCCTCGGTCCTGAGGTTTTGCAAACTCAGTACTGAGCTTATGGCCTGCTCTTGGCCGTGGCAATACCGCGTTATGGGACTACGCAGTTATATAGTGTTCTCCAGATCGTCTACTGGAGCGTTCATGGCTTTATCCAAGGCGTGTGCACGCCTCCCGTTTTCAGAGCCTCACGAGAGGCAATGGCCATGCTCCCTCCCGGGCTTTGAACAGGACCGGACCTGTCACTGCACCTCAGCCTCCTGTCCTGACGTCTGGCCGTGCCCGGGGGCAGCTTCCCTGGCGCTGCGGCGGGCTGTCGGCAGGTGGCGCTGGAGGGGGGGCTGGCTGGGTGAGAACGAGGCGTGACAGCACTCGCTAGAGGACAGGACAAGTGCTTCAGTTGTTTTCTCTTCTTTTCAGCTGCCCTTATAATCCCTTAGTATCTTCAGGTTCTGTATCCCACTATCTCTTTCTCCTTGTGTTTGCTTCCTTTTTAATTACAGGTGTTACTGATTTTTTAAAACGTATTGCCACATCTCTAAATTCTGCCATAACTACCTGGGGTTTCTCTAATTTGGGGGGCGGAGAATTTATTTTTTTTTGTTCTAACTTGCTGTCTTTTCACTGAATTAATTCTTCATGAAATCTCTGAAGAATTTTGTTGTGTAAAATATACTCTTTGTCTTGAAATTATTCTCTCTTTCAGGCTTCTCTTTAGTATCCAGCTTTCATTACCACAGACCATCTCGTTCTCTTCCTTCAGACCCCTCTGTACAAGCTCTCCTGTTATAATGGTTACAAAAACCAGTGGTAGTGATTAGGCAATTTATGAACACTTTCATGTGAAACAAGTTTTGTTTGGTGGGGTTTTTTTTCCCCCATATTCCCTCTCTTTGTGGAGATAAAATAGTTAATGCTTCATAGGCTTTTGCAGACCTCTCAGCTTAGGTCTCACTGCAGACATTTTCTGAAGGTCTCACTGACTCAGCGTGACCAGCTATTGAAGAAGTGAGATTATTTATAAGGTTCCTCATCTGAAATAATCCATATATGACCGCTCTTTGTTGTAATTTACTACGTTCTGCTTCTCTGACACGTAAGTGTAGTTCAGTGAAAAGGAAGTGGTGTATCCCAAAGGTATATAAACTCTGTAACTGCCTGCTTTGGGCACCGTTGGTATCAGCTCAGGCCATTGCTGCTGCTCTGTGTTCTCTCCTGTAGACATAGGGATAGTCTGCTTCTCTTCTGATCTGACCAAAATTGTAATTCCAGATATTCCAAGATGCCTTGTATATACAAAGTCAGTCAGGCATGTTCTTCAGGCTTCAGTTGTTGGGAGTTTTGGAGGTGACTGTCTTTCAGTGCTCAGCAGCTAATATTTACATCCACAAATCTCTAGCTATGATTACATAACTACTCTTTAATTTGATTTCTGTCAAAATATTTAGGTTTGATATTCAGGCTTTTTTCGTAAGGCTTTGCTTTTTAAAAGAACATTTTGTTAGAACCCAGTTAAGGAGTAGGCACATAAGCAGAAATGCTGGAAAACCTAGTAGGGAGGGCTTAAATATCTGATAGGCGAAATAGTTGAGACAGTAACATTTTAACCCGGGTAGGTTTCAGCTAAGAAGCATTATCTGACCATGCCTTTACATAGGTGAATGAACTGTTGTTTTATTCACTTTGTGTTTTTATAGTGCCTTGTACATCTGATCTGTAGATTTTTCTGAAGTATAAGTAATAAATACCTCTTTCTTTTTTTCCCTCCCCTGCCTAAGGAGAGCCCTTGCTGATGGAAAAAGAGCCACTATTTTGAAACCTAATTGGCCAAAGGTTAGTTTCATATGCATTTCAAAATTGTCTTTTGGTACTGTAAACGAACATAAGAACCCAGAGTTTTAATTACAGGTTTGACTCATGTAGATATGACATGTCCTCATCTGCGTTTAGCACTAATGACAGTAGAATGAACACAGTACCTTGTGGACTAAGAATTCTGCTTCAGTCAGCCAAGTACATTGTTTACTTGTGGTTTTATATTAAAAATGTTATTTTGACGTGCTTGTAAGTGTTGTTATATGGTGTTCTGCATGTGTAAAGACACAAGAAAACATTTATTACATTCTTGTGCATAGCTGTGTTATAACAATGCTTTACAAGGAATATACATAGTCCTTACAATAAAAAAATCCTGATTAATGGCCAACATGTATTTCCCAATATTCTTGGCCTAAAGAAGAGTAAATAAGGGATAGTTACAAAATTGCAAAGTAGTAGTTGAGATTAGGGGAAAAAGCAAATTTGCTGTTTTCCAAAGCCAGATGCTAGATGCTACTCCCAGTGAATTCTCTTTCTGTTTCAGTGTGCTGAGTAGTTGAAAACTGATTATTCACCATTTGACCTGAAACAGGTGGAGTAGATAACTTTTGAGCACGTAAAATTCTACTTTATATTGTCAACTGCAGCTGGTTTTGATATAAATTGTTTTCTTATTTGTGTGAATGAATGCTTGAAATTCAAAATTACATCTGTGTAGGGTCACTACCACTTCTGTAAGGCACTGTCACTACTGGGGGAACATGAACTGGCTTTGGAAGCTAATGAGAGAGCTCAGGAACTATGCAAGAATATTCTTGATGGACTTAAGGATCTTATTCAACAAAATGACAAGTTAAAGAAGACATTAGAAGAAATCGATGGTAACCTTTTCTGATTTTAAGATCTGTCTTGAACATTGCAAAATTCCTTCATTGGTAACTTTCCTTTGAAACCAGCTAATTTATTTTTTTTTCCTTCCCTCCCTTCCTGTATAATTTTCTATAGGTATTAAACAACATAAACAGAAACCCAAGAAGTCACATCTTGAGAAAAAGTAAGCAAATGTCAAGTTTGCTTTTTTTTCCCTAATTAGCAATGCTTAGTATAAGATTTAAGTAACACATAGCATAGATATTGGTTAAATTTTGTTATTGATAAGTTTAGTCCTTCCATTTTTATTTACTTATCAGAACTGCAACCAGAGTGCAGCCTCTCTAAAGAGGACTTCTAGGAACCAAATAAGCTGTCTTGAGATCTGTCCCACTTCCAAGCAGTTTTTAGCCATGTTGGAAGTAACAGGAAACAGTTACATTTTCATGTTACTTTGTTTTGTCCTCCCCACTTGAAGTGCTTTGCTGTTGAGGAAATTTGGTGTCTGAAAATGTCAGTGCAATCACACCCCCTTTTTTGTGTTAACTTTGCTATGTAAAGTTTGCTAGGAGATTAAACTGGTTTGAGGCACTGAATGCTAGCAAATGCATTTTGGTAATGGTAAAAATGAATGTGTATCCTAATTTGTAGGAACTCAGGTTTGCCACATCTATTCTGTGCTTTTGCCTTGCCTAGAGAGAGTAAGAGAGATTCTATATTCACAGATTCAGTTAAGTTACAGTATATGCTGTAACTTTGGTATTAAACATTTTTCTGAAAAGTCTTTTTGATTTTTATTGGTCTACTTGTACTGGTGTGCTATTTGTCATTCAAAAACAGTACAGTAAGTAAACTACTAAACAGCTTTTTGTAAACCTGAAAATTCTGGAGGAACTTAAATTTGTTTCCCTTCTATAATGAAATTTGGCCTTGGGCAAGATTGATTATTTTTTTTCTTTAAATTAATTACCATCATTAGTTATTTTTTAAAAAAGTAAATGTGCGGTAATTCAGTTCCTGTCCCTTTTATAGAAAATTGTGCTTTTTTTTTGTTGTTATATTTTTACATAACCTTGGACTGTGAAATTTTAAGGTGTAAAAAATGGCTGTTTGATCTAATCTTTAAATATGCTTAGGCCAGTACACTTCTATGAGGAGTAGACTACTTATATTCATCTTTGTTTTTTTCATTATACATGTATGGTATATGTCTTAAATATGGGGAAAAGATATCAACATTGGAAAAACTAGAGTTCTCTCTTTTTATGTATCAGAGACTGCAGTTCTTCAGAATCTCATTTAGTAATCTCTCAAGAACAAAAAGAAATAGAAAAAGACAGAAAGAGGACACAGTCTGATCCTAAAGATGATCATTGTCATCAAAAACATGATACCAGGGTAAGTTACGCTACAGCTGGCGTTACAAAACTTCATGGTCCTGGAATGTGTTATTTAATGGTGTGGCTGAAATTTTTCAGCCACTGTGTTTTAATAATTGTGCACTTTCTCAGCCAAGTGCACTTTTCCTGTAATATTTAACTGCCAAATCTGTGTTCAGAACTTTGGATTTGAAAGGCGGTGGGAGGTGGTTGCTTGAATGAGAAGGTGGAGGCTGTGTGTTATGAGGAAGAGAGGGGTCTCTTCGGGATTATTGAAAGTGAGTCTGAAGCCATGTCTGATTTAATTGACTGTCAGTCCTGTCTGTCAGCCTGCATTCAGATGTCGGCTGCCCTTTGGCTTTAGGAGAAGATTCAGTTAACACGGACTGGTGTAATGGAGTTCAGTGGAAGATGCTTTAGCCAAAGTTAATTCATATACAGGGCTTTTGCTATACTGGAGCATTGCTTTGCACTGATACTGTGACATTAAGATATTTGCGTAGTTATAGACCATTATTTTCATGCTCCGTAAACAGCTTGCTTTCATATGGGGAAAAATGCTGGTTAAATAGTATGCTTGACTGGATTGTATGTAAAACTAGGGTTTTGTGGTTCTCAAATATGTTTGGCTTGTGTGTTTAAAACAAGTGTCATATAGTGCTAAAATGCAGCATGGACTTGCATTATTTTAGTAGCCCTTTGTAGTTCTTTAGTTTCATTCTTTCAATTTAAAAGATTGTTTACAAGCACAACTATTCTACTAAATTATTTTTATGAACTTTTTTGGTGAGGAAGGCTTAAAAGAGGAAGTGAAGCTGTCGCGGAGGAGATTCAGACTACTTAAAGAACCACTGCCAAAGGTAGCAGCAAAAGTGGCTTTATTGAAGTAAGATGTTGTAAAAGTGGGGCTTAACAAAGTCCGATGGCATGGTTCAATCTGTTACTCTACTGCACAGGGGATATAATAATGATTCAAAGTTATAAATACAAGATCTTACTGCCCTGTGACACAAGGTTATGTGCGATATCGATCGTGTACCAAAGATCTGCAGTTGGTAAGGGGTCTCTCAACCTCGAGGAGTAACCTTGAGAGGCATCCCAGCTCAAGGGGACATCACTGCCATGCTGCCTGCTACTTACGAGGGAGAGCTCAAAAAAAGCTCCCTCAGGCTGTCATATTTATCGAATAAAGTGGTTGGCTCGTAGTCGAATTACATGTGATGGAAAAGGTAAGCATGAGACTCCTTGTGCCCACAACTTCCTTTGTTCCTTGACCAAAGTAGTTTTGGAAGAACCATTGCTACTTCAGTGTTGATTGCCCAGGCCTTTACTTCCTTTGGAGCCTGAACCACACTACCACTAGTTTGGTCAAGGAGTCAAGTGCATCCATCACAGAAGCTTAAGCTTAACAGAGTAAACTTTGTTCATAGTTGATTTTTGTTCCTGAAAAATAATTAAACTAAGGGTACATGTTAGTGAAGGATGACCAAAAAAATCCACCAACAAAAGCCTCTAACTTTTCCTTTAGAAGATTATTTTACTGTTGAATGTTCAATGGTGTACTGTGTTGTCGTGGTTTAACCGTGGTAGGCAGCTCAGCCCCATGCAGCTGCTTTCCCGCTCCCCTCAGCAGGATAAGAGAGAAAATCCTAAGTGTAAAAGCGAGAAAACTCATGGGTTGAGATAAAGACAGTTTAACAGGCAAAACAAAAGCTACACACACAGGCAAAGCAAAATAAGGAATTAATTCCCTACTTCCAGGCAGACGTTTAGCCATTTCCAGGAAAGCAGAGCTTTATCATGCATAACAGTTACTTGGGAAAACAGATGCCATAACTCAGAACTTCCCCCCCCTTTCTCCTTTCCCCCTCAGCTTTTATTGCTGCGCACAACGTTGTATGGTATGGGATACCCTTGGGGTCAGTTGGGGTCAGCTGTCCCTGCTGGGTCCCCTCCTGACTTCTCATGCACCCTCAGCCTCCTCACTGGCAGGGCAGGGTGTGAAGCAGAAAAGGCCTTGATGCTGTGCAAGCACTGCTAAGCAGTAGCTGTAACATCCCTGGGTTATCAGCGCTGTTCTAATCACAAGTCTAAAACACGGCACTAAACAAGCTGCTGTGAGGAAAATTAACTTTATCCCAGCCAAAATCAGTACATACATACTTATTCCTTAAAAAAAAACCCCCCACAACCCCAAAAAGAAGTGGAAAGTTGGGGGATTTTGTTGGTGCTTACCTTGTTTTACGTGGGTTTCGCTACTGGTTGTCAGTGGAATTTCCCAGGTGTTGCTGTCTTAGTGCCTATCTCATGGCCAGGATCATGGGGAGCCTGTAAAACATTCCTGTGCATAAATTTTCCAGAGTGGTTTGCTTTGCTAGACACATGCAGACTGTGACAGTCCTGCTGTAACAGCATGGAATTAATAATTTAATAATCCACCTCCAGTTTGCTTACAGACTGTTCTTCTCTTTCACACTAATTATAAATTTAAAGAAACATTTGTACCTTTTTCTTACAATAATGATGGTAAAGACAAACAGATAATTAATAAATTGTTTATTATCATTTAGCCTATAAAGTGTGCTATAAATAAGCTATATAATATGGAAAACAAGAGGATAAATAATGTAAATCTACTAGCAAGGTCTAAACAATTTAGGACACACATGAAAAAACCCTTTTGGGTTTCATGGGAGGGCGGAGCGACAAAATGATGACTCGTGGGGAAAATGAAACCAATGTACAAGGGCAAAGGGAAGGAAATGAAAGATAAACTTGTTGAAAAAGGAAGCGATCTATAGAACACACAAGAAGTGCTTAAAGATTTTTTACTGTCTTACGGAAACTTTCATCTGCTTTTATGCTACGAAAATCTTCATAATGTAGGTCTGTAAGTTTATCTTCCTTTAGGATGAATGTTACTGCGAAAAAGGCTAGTATTTGTCAGACTAGTAGATAATATAAATTGATAGGAATTTGGGGGAAAAATGTATAAGTGTACAAATGCACTTTGATTAATGAAATTATTTTGCTTTATCTTTTGATAGGGGACATGATATGCCCTATTATCATGGTGATTTCTTTGTTTAAATGTTAATGCTTTAGTTTTTTTCTTTGTTTAAATTCAGTGAGTGATGTCTGTTTGTTTTTTGTTATCTGTGTAAAACCAAACTAACGTATTTGTCATTAGGTGACTGACATCCAAAGAACAGAAAGCAAAGGATGGTCTCTGGAGTTTCCACCAAGTGAGTTCGTTTTTGCTATTTATCAAGTCCGAGTCAGTTCTTCCCTTGCTGTTGCCGTTATTAATAAACAAATGTGTATCTAGTGTTATTTTCACAACAGTAAGCTATCATGTTTCACTTCTTTTCCTGTTAGCTTGCAGTTACTTAGGTACTTCTTCTCTCCTGTATTTCTGTCTTATTAAGTTCATGCGTTTGTAGTTTGAATCTCCTTTTACATAGGTGAATTCAGAATTGAAACTGGAACTAAAAATTTAAATGCTGAGTTACAGGCTAGAAATGCTTTCCCTCCTTCTGAGACAGGTACAGGATCTAAAAGGATCTAAATTTAAGAGAAGTGTGTGGGTAGCTTCAGTATTCATAATTCATTTGTGATTGCTAAAAGCTCCATGTAGATCCTTAAGATGATAATCCTGCAGTTAGAGAGGAAGGAGACTACAAAATATTTGTCAGAGTGGATTTTCAGCTGCAAACTTCAAGAGGTAGAAGTTGGTGTGATTTATTGTTCATGCTGAGTTTTTTTAAATGAACAAAAAAAAAACCCCTACAGTCTTTGTATAGAGAGAACTCCCACTCCCCAAACCTCCCACAGTGCCAGACTTACTTTTCTGTGGTGAAAGTGAAGTGCAAACAGTTCTGATCAAAGTGAAATCTTTTCCTGAATTTTGCTTGGGTTTTTTATCACCTGCTAAACCTGTGTAATCAAGAAAGCATAAGGTATTTCCCTGGCATTCAGAAATTTTTCTTATTTATAATGTTTATATGGAATACTCCCGCTGGATCTGAACCAGGTTCATGCTCAGGCTGTATTCTAAAGTTGTGACCTCCAAGGCAGTGGGTCCTTCTAGTCCTGACCGTGGAACAGTCTGACGTCCTTGGTGCCCGGCCATACTATACTTTGGACTTTGCATACTTAAATACTTAGCTGAATAGGTGCCAAGTGCAGAGGACTTCACAATTTGATTTTAGGAAAACACTGAAGATATATTACAAAATACAATTTTAAGATGAGCAGTAGGAGAAGTGATCTTGCTTTTGTGGACTTCGGACACATGCAAACATCTTGAAGAACTAAAGGATTTATTGGGAGGTGGCAAACGTGGGAAAGGCTGCAAAAGAAGAATCAAGAGGAATTTGTTGAAAAGAGGTTATGTGCTAAGATAATAAAAAAAGAAAAGAAGAAACTGTAAAGTGTTGAAGGAACTTAATGCAGAAAGTGTGAATCAGGGAAGGGTTATAGAAAGGGGAAGTCAAGCTCTGGAAGACAAATCAGTTTTGAGGAACTACGTGTAGATGGTGTGAAGGAGCAAAATATGAGATGTACAGAGGCCATAGGAAACTTTGAATGAGTTTGAAGCAAGTGACAACTAAGTGAATCCAGACATTTTCCTGAGTGTGAAGGTGTGGTCCGAACAGTAATGGAGTCTGACGGCACGTTATAAAACAAAGCTTTGTGGAGGCAGTGGAAAGGATCTGCAGTGATGCGCCCAATCACCGATAGCAAACCCAGGACTGTAAGTGATGCCCTAGCTCCAGCAGACTGCCAGGGATGCTCGGTGCCCAGCTCACCCGGTAGGAAGACCAAATCGTGCAAATGCCTTTTGCATGTGGCTAAGAGTTGCTCTGCCCCTTGACTCTGCCAACGGTAGCGGGATTTGAGGGAATTGGACTTTATGTGAGTAATGTGGGCAGGGTGTCGGCAGCCTGTCTGCACTGCCGATACTGGTCAAGGGCAGGGTGTCTGCAGTCTGTCTGTGCTGCTGATACTGGTGAAGGGGCAGGGTGTCAGAAGGACGGCTGATTTTTAGAGAGGTTGAGGAAAGAGGGATAATGAATGGCTGAATGTTGGGAGAGAACTGAAAATTCTTCTAGGCTACAGAGATCATAGGACTATGAAATGTTGCGTTGAACATCATAATTTCAAAAAAAACCTGTGCTGATTCCATGTGTGGTTTTTTTTTTTCCTGTTCCTCCTTCCTCCTCCTCCTCCTCCTCTCCCCCTCATACTTATTCTGTCTGTGTTGATGTAGAAGAAAATATTTGATTTGGCTTTGATTTGAGAGGAGGAGTTAAGCTCTGAATGAATAGCTGATAGACGTTTACTGTGGGTGGGGAAGAATAACTTTCTTTTTCTTAGCCTTTGTTCACTTAAAGGCTTAAGACTTGCAGGAGATTTAATGTAAAGGAACTTTATGCCACTGTATCTTATCTTAAAGTTACTGTCTTTTTTAATTTCAGTTTTTGTCTGCATGTACTATTTTTTTGAGCATGTGTACTTTTCTGTTAAATATATTTGTTCGCTCCTAATGGGAATGTCTAGCAAAAGCAGTACTACTTCTACTAATATTTTAAAATGTTTGTGGGGTAAGTGAATCGTATTTGTCGTTGAATTAATACATCTCTTTAAGTATT